GGTGAATCCTCTCATCCCCCACACCTCTGGCTTATACTCTAGTTCTTATATGCATAAATAAATCTTTTAAAAATTATAAAAAAAATCTGTAGGAACATTGGTGTTATCTCTAAGACTTTATTGGTTGGATTACTGCATGTTAGACTCAAACTGTGGGCCTTCCCAAGTCATTAGGTCCTCTCTTATGTTTGTATTATTAGAAAAATATTTAATAAAATAAAAATGCAATATGTAATAATTAAAGGTTGTATTGCATATTCAAAGTATTTCCTTGTCCTTTGTCAGAACACGCCTACTAACAATTCCATGATCCTTCTGTTTTCTTCTTTGTCCTTATCCATAAAACGAGAGAGAAATGAAGTCCTGGCCTTGTGCTGGTTCATGCTGGTTAACACCTTACTAGAATATCTGACATGTGCCAAGCCTTAAACCTGCAGTTTTGTATTACTTGTATTTCAGTACATCTTTACTGAAAGGTCTGGAATTATACTTCCATTAATACTCTCAGGATCCTACTATTTTATCTAACTTTGTATTTAATAACTTTCAATGATGGATACACCAGGGCATTTATCACAGATTATCTTTATTATTCATTCTTGCTTTAAATTTATTTCAGTTTTTTTAAAAAATTATTGATTTAATTGCAAAGAAAATCCCTTTGAGTTTCATTATGTATGATGGGATTAGGCTTCACTTTTATTTGCAAAGCACTATAATTTTTAGATTTTTGCCTACAATAGGAATAACTATTTTCATTTTCATTCTTTTTACAATATTACCTTATTCCTCTTGTGAGTCTTTTACCCATTAGAAGTATGTTATATAATTTCCTCATGTTTGTGAATTTTCAAATTACCATTTTTCATATTATCACAGAAAGCATGCTTTATAATATTGTAATCTTGTGAAATGATGGTTCTTGCATGTATATGTACACTTAAGAATGTGTATTCTCCTGCTGTTAAAAGGAGTGTTCTAGAAATGTCTGTTACATGTGATGAGTTTATCATGTTGACCAAACATCCTTCCTTGTTGTATCTCATTGCTTTTTGATTTCATTTTTTTAAAGATGTATTTATTTATTTATACAAGAGCTGGGGTACAGGCCAGAGATGCAGGGGGTGAGAGGATTCACCAGAGACAGAGTGGGGAACAGAACAGGCAGACTGACTGAAATACACTGCTGAGGGGAGCAGTGGGTGAGTCAGGAGAGGTCTGCTGAGCCATGTGGGTTGCTACCTGGCCAGCTGGGGATCAAACTCGTGCTGCAGAGGCTGTAGATTGCTTCATAGTGTGGTGCTTAACCCCTTGTGCCACCAGAGAGGCCCTGTTTTTTTTTTTAAAGATTTATTTTTATTTATGCATACAAGAACTGGTGAGGTACAGGCCAGAGATGTGGAGGGTGAGAGGATTCACCAGACACAGAGTGGGGAGCAGAACAGTCAGATGTACTAAAATACACTGCTGAGAGGAGCAGCAGGCAAGACAGGAGAGATCTGCTGCAAATGTGGGTTGCATCCTAGCCGTCCAGGAATTGGACTCTTGCCGTAGAGGCTGGCAGTAGCATGATAGCACTATCTTTAACCCCTGTGCCACCAGGGAGGCCCAAGAAAGTGTCTTTTAATAAAATGTGAGTCCCTTAGATATAGTAGATAGTTGGACCTTTTTTTCATTCATTCAGCCAGTATGTACTCTTAATTTGAGAATTTAAAATATATTTCAGGTGATTACTGATAATCATGGCTTTACTTCTACCACTTTGTTATTTGTCATATATGTTTTACATATTTTTGGTTTCTCAGTAGTTTCATTAAGCCTTCTTTAATATGAAATGGAAAAAGTATAAAGACTGTTATATACAGGGCCTCCCCTGGTGGCGCAGATGGTTGAGCGCCACAGCGCTGTAAAGCTGTCCACAGCCTCTGCAGCGCCAGTTCAATACTGCCGGCCTTCAAGAGTCCCACATAGCATGGCAGACCTCTCCTATCTTGCCCACTGCTCCCCTCAGCAGTGTATTTCGTTAGTCTGCCTGTTCTGTTCCCCACTCTGTCTCTGGTGAATCCTCTCACCCTCCCACAAATCTGGCCTATACCCCTGTTCTTGTATAAATAAATAAATCTTAAAAAAAAAAAAGAATATTGTATATATCATGTTATGATGAATTTGAAAAAGTAAAAGAAAATTATAACTAAAGTAAAAGTTTAATTTACGTAAGTGTAAATTAACAATGACTGGTAAACTCTCAACAGAAAAAACTATACTACTCTAGTGAAAAATATTACTTCAATCTCAAGAAAATATTTAATATTGCACAAGCATGCACCATATATGAAATTCTATAGATGCTATAATAATCAAGAACAATGAAGTTGAAAAGGCACTGCCATTGTAAAAATATGTTATGAGCTGGAGTAATTTTAACATTGTCACATTGTTACGTGAATGGATAGCTATATGTGTAGTACTGAACAGAGTAGAGAAACATCTGCTAATACATCCAGAGTTCAATTCTATGGGGATAAAAAGCTCTTATAAATAAGTTACACAGGGAAAATTTGTTATCTATATTATTTCCACTAATTGAAAAAAAAAAAAACTTACTGAAGTGATCAATGGGAATAACAGAACAGAAAAAAATTAACAGAAAAAACTAAATATGCCCAGTAGGCTGTCTGGTGGACATCAATTACAACCTAGAAAATGCAAAAAAAAAAAAAAAAAAAAGAATGCTTATGTATTTTTCATATATACATTTTGTTTGAAGGGTAAGTGAAAAATTATCAGGCTTTTACACCCTCCCACTATTAGTATTAATGATGGATCCCTGTGGTCCTACATGCATGCCTGATGGTGGACACCTGGAGTAAGGGTGTGGGCATGCATAGGTGGGCACACCTGGGCTGAGACTGGGCTTATAAGGGCGGTGTCATGGGGACGCCAGGAGAAAAGAAGAACAAGAAGGAAAAGCAGGAGCAGAACCAGCAGAGAAGCAGAGAACATGAGAGAACACCAGAGAACCCAGAAAGAGTGAAGATTTGCTGGGGGCTGGGAGGCTTGCCAGCCTTGTGGCCTCCTGGCCCCCTGCCTTGTAAAATAGAGATCCTGCACTGTGCCTTCCAGCCAATTCAATGTTATTATGGCAGACTATAGATATATAGATATAAATAATACGGAAAATGTTTGTAAAGTTATATCATGCAGAAATACATACACCTAGTTCCACCCAATGCAACCATGAAGGTTTTTGGAGAGAACAGGCAGAGAATCCTGCAGAAAGGTGTATTTAGTGTTTGTGTTAATGTCCATGGGAAGAGACCTAGGAGGCAGAACTCTGCCCTATATCTTTCCACAAATTTATAGGAACATTAGAAGGGGTTTCACGGACATTCAAGTCAAAAATGGATTACAAAGAAAGCTTCTCAGTGGAGCACCTCCTCTTATTAGGAAGGGGACGCTTTTGGAGTGCTTTAGCTGATGTTAACATCCACTTCATTTGGGGCTGGCTAAGATCTGCTAAATTAACACTAAGGAGTAAGAAAGAAGGAAGTCTTAGGGTGATTCACATCTGTTCCTACTCACACCAAACTGATAATGATGGTCACCTCTGGAGAAAGGTAAGGATATATGTGGGGAAGTTTGCAAAACTAACTCACTTTGTACCTTATGTGTTACCGATGATTGCATTTGTTTATCAGGAGAAATAAATCAATCTATTGCACCAGTAACTCAAAATTAAACACTGCTTTTGCACTGAAGGGTGGGAAGGATGAAGCATGCTGTTGGTGTCTTTATAATAGTAAATGATACTGAAGGTATTCTAAATGGATAGATAGGAATGCTTAACTATGGGGAAATGCGTGAAAAATAAATTTCCTTAGAATGCCAGTGAAGAATTCCTTCACTGCTTTCAGCTAAAGTTATTCAGCAAAAAACCTAGAACACCAGTTTGCTTCTTTAAGGGAGCAATCACAGTCATTGTGTTAACATGCCAGGCTTTTTGTAATTGTTTTGTCCTACAAATAAATTTATGCTGAATATTTGGCTCCTGGTCAATGGGGACTCACAGCAGCTGAGAGAAGATGACAGAAAATAGCCCCTAAGCAGATAGAAAAGTCACTGCTTTTATGTATCTGACCACAAACACTAGACAGAAATGTTTATTAAATCTGGGAGAATGTAACACCTTCTCTGGCTTTAAATGGAAGATGCAAGTAAAGTGAGGTATTTGCAAACACAGATCTAGTTCTTCATACCTTTGGCTCAACAAACTAGGTGTCTCCTGTTGTGTTCCTGGCATATCAGTCTTGTGGTGCAGAAAAACAATTTTTTTCTAACTTTTATCTTTTGAAAGGGAATCTAATTAATTTGTGATTGCTGCATTCATTTTCTAGATGTAATATCTGTTTTGCTTCATGGGCTCGGCAGCTGTGACAATAGGCCTGCCATCCCGCTCAGGAAGTGGGGCATCTGATGAATACTGTGAAAGAGGTCCCACAAAAGCCTCCTAACAAGTACCGTTCTGCTGGGAAAAAATTGATTAATAAATTGTTTCAACTCCTACCTGGATCTCTAATGATAGTCTCGACTTTCTATCCCACTGAATCCTGTTTTTTTGTTTGTTTGTTTGTTTAGACATGTTGATTTACAAATCAACCATTTATAAAATAATGGAGATAAAATAAATGTATCAGAGCAAGTGCAAAAGAGTGTCCCCAAATGATTCCATTTGCTGAAACTCACACTCTGAAAATACCAATTAGATGACAGATGGGATGTGGTAGATTGTTGAAAAGCTCACGCCAACTATTTCATCAATAAGTGACTTAGCAATAAACAAAAATAGTCATGGTGTTTTGTGATAAATGCTATTGCTAAATGTCCTGCGCTAATTATCCAAAGAGAACTACAATCATATTGGTATCTTTTTTTTTTTCTTTATGAGTTTTCATGCTGTTCTCTTTTTATAATCTCTCTCCTCCTTAATGCTTTGCTTATAGATTCTTTACCTATCTTTCAAGTAAGAGACCCTCAAGAGAGCCAACTGGATTTCCACTCTTTGAGATGCATTCACCTCTAGCAGCAGTACATCCTGGGTCTACTCCCATGACAGCAGGGCTTACAGAGGGCTGGATTCTTCCCTGCACCTCACCAGACCTACTATCCATTCATCTACATGTTAATTTTAGTCCCAGAAGATTGCTGACTTGGGTAAGAGAATGTCAAAAGCTGTGTTTTCTGGAGCTTTGACCAATTGGAACACAGAAGATGATCAGAGACAGAAAGGAAGATAAAGTCAGGGATTTATCCCATGATTTCCTCTTTGGACTGAAAATATTCAACCCTGAGCCAATATTTCTTTCAAGGTGGTTGCTTTATACAGGGCTATACTAAACACCCCTCCATTATTCCTTTGCATTGTGGTTTTATAGTTCTGCTGTTTTCTAGCTTTGGGTTATAACATTTTCCCTGGTAATTATGCCACATTCATAAGTCTGTAAATGGTCCCTCTCAAGATCTCTATTCTATATACCAAACTTCTCCAATATTTAATGACTTTATCAATATACATTTTACCTTTTTGCTCAGAATGTTTTGGGTTAGGAATTCCAGCAGGATTTGACTGACCAGTTCACCTGCCTGAAGTGGTTGTATTACAGGGCAGGGAGGGGACACTCCAGACCCCGCAAACCAGCCTGATCTAAATGGGTTCTGCCATCCGCCACATCAACACAAAACATATGAGACTTTAATGGAAAGAAACTTTAATACAATTAGCAAACAATACAGAAAAGACAAAGAATATAGTTTCTAAATCAAGCACCCAAAGTTACCCATCCCCTCGTAGGTAAAAGTCCCCCCAAACAGGATTGACCCAGAGCAAGGCCCCAAAGCCTGCCACAAGTCTAAAGCACCTTCCAGTGGGGACCCACAGAAAAGGATCAGAAACAACCAGACAAGTCTGAGAGGAAAAAAGCAAAATCAACATAAAAGCTGCCATTGTTATCCTCCCCAATGCTCTCTCACCCACATCTGTGTCACCCAGTCCACGACCAAACGGCAAGTGTAGTTTCTTCACGTGTCTCTCTGCTCCATGTGCCTCCTCCAGGTCTCCTGGCTCTCCATCCTGCTTCCCTCCTTCCTTCCTCTGTCCCTTCTGCAGCGTCTCCCTGTTCAGCTACACCCTCCTTTTGGGTGGGGCAGGAAACCTGGAACCTCCCCCTTTCCTGAGGATCACCCTGTTACAGTTGGACTTGACTTATTTGGTTGTATGCAGCTGAAGGCTTGACTGGTGGTAGTATCCTACAGGACCTCATTCACATCCCTGAGCACAGATAGGACCAACTAAAAGGTTGAGCTAAGACAGACCCTTTCCCTTTTTACTGTGGTCTCAGGGCATTTTCACCTTTCTAGTAGGTATCTTACAAGGTGGATCTTACATGATTTAAAGAGATTCTTTTTTATCCATCTTGAACAGACCAGGAAGAAAGTTACTAGTCCTCTGAAAAACTAGTATCAGGGTAGTATCAGGCTCTACTTTTTTTCTATTGCTGCATAACATAAAGAACATGTATGCCAAAAAGCAGTCATCTTTGACAATGATGTTGTTTTTGCAGTCAGTGGGTTTAGATTGTGGGGTCTTTGGGTTCACACTGGAAAATGTTTTACTAGAGCTCCCGTTTCGGCGGCAGTAGTTATATTTAAAGAGCAGGTTTATTAGGGAGAGGTACAGAAGACACAAGTGAACAGAAAGTGCTGCCCCAAAAGGGACAGGTTTGCTAAGAAAGAGGCCTGCATGGTTGCAGGAAGGCGGCCTTGAGGAGAGCTGCCTCCACTGAGGGAGGTCAGTGAAGAGAAGCCCTGGCATGGTGCAGGTCACGGGCAGGCAGGAAAGCTGCTGCCCTGCACAGGCAGAGAATTGGTGAAAAGTAGCTCCTGCATAGGCACAGGTGGGCAGACGGAGTGCTTGCCTCACTCAGTCCAGAGACTGCACTGATATAGTCTTCTTCTCTTTGGGAGGGGCTCACTCCTTGTGAGCCTTCCTAGATGCTGATTTTGGATAACTATGCAGAATCTGAACAGAGGGAGACTCCACAATGGGCTCAATCTCCATATCTTTGCTTTTGGGCCTGTGCTCTAGACCCTCCCTACAGCAGCCTGATACCTGCTTAGGTCTTATGCTTTGTAACCTAGGCTTTGGCGCATAAGGATCTTGGTTTCCATAGCTGGGTCAATGGCTATGCTAATCCCTTCCACCCCCACCTCCAGCTCTTGGCATTGTGTGAGCCAGCTTTCTGGTGTTATGGTGCCTCTTTTTCAGTTTTTTTTATATTCTTGTTCTCCATCAATACCACCTTAGGTGTTTGTTTTTTGAATTCTTTCAAGTCCCAAATGATTCATATTTCTTCAAAATGAAAAACACATTAACTGCCTTTCCAAAAATTTGTAAGAGTCTTTTACCATTATAGCATCAGCTCAAGAGCTAAGAACTCATTATCCACATAATCCTAATCAGGTGAATCATCTCATTCTGAGGTTAAGGTCATTAAATTCAGCTTCTGGGACAAACTTTCTCCATCTGTGGACTTGTGAATCTAGAGACAATTTATATGGCCCTAGCTATCCCAACATATGATGATGATACACATAAGGGGTAACAGTTACAGATACTTGTAGGGTAAGGAAAAAAATGTCAGACTATTCTGCTCTCCTGCCATCAGGATAGATGATGGATCCTTGGGTGCTGAATGCATGCCTGATGGCGGGCACCTGGAATAGGGTGTGGGCATAGGTAGATGGGATTCACCTGGGCTGAGACTGGGTTTTTAAGGGCGGCGTCATGAGGATGCCAGTAGAAGCCAAAAGAGAAGCAGAGAAAGAAGCAGAGAAGGAGAAGCAGAAGCAGAAGCAGAAGCAGAAGCAGAAGCAGAAGCAGAAGCAGAAGCAGAAGCAGAGAGCCCAGATAGAGTGAGGATTTGCTGGGGGCTGGGAGGACTGCCAGCCTCCTGGCCCCCCAGCACCCCTCTGTGTACCGGGTAAATCCCAATAAAAGACCTGCAAAAACCACTGACTCTGACTCCTCCTTTGTCGGGTCTGCTGGATCAGAAAACATGCTCCGTGTCCTGTCCTGCCCCTACAATACTGCAGTTCAAAAGAGGATGAAACAGGTGGAAATAAATAACTAGTTCTTGAAAGTTATGTAAAAAGTTAGGCAAATAGTGAAATTTTTCTTGATTCTGTTTCAAAGATTAGGACTAATCTGTGTCTCTAGGCTCTACCTTTTGTGCAATTGTTTCCACTCTGAGTCATCTTTCCTTTCTCACGAAAATTAGTTAAGCATTTGAAACTGAGTTGTTTATCAGTCTGCCATAGGACTTGGTGCTATGAAAGGTTCCTTTCAATTTAAATTTTCTTGGTCCCTTTCAGTTCAAGCTAGCAGTATTCCTGCTGAAAAAAGTATTGTTGAGAATGTTGGGGGAGGGTGAGCTTTGAAGGAGTTTACCGGGTTTTACTCCATTAGGCAAAAACTATACCCAAAATCTTTTCATCTGAGACTTTAGCAAAGGGCTGTAGAGACACATATTCAGTGTATTTCTTTCATTCATTCATTCGTTCATTCATTCATTCTGCATTGTGATGATTTGACATTTAAAACACCCATGTGGGGAGAGTCTTGCCCTTCCAGAACTAGTCAATTATTAGAGACAGTGGAAGTAGAGCAAGGAATATGCCTTAATCTAGAGTCACACTTCCTAATCTGGTGTTTACACCCCCAGAGGTAACATTCCCTTTCTTTCATCATCTCAGTTCTAGGTAGCAGGCAACTGGATGTGGTCCAGCAAACCAAGGAACAAGACAAAACAGCTGCCCTAGCCTTCAACCTAGCAGTTCTGTTTAACACACTGTTGCACATCCCTCAGGCATGGTGATGAGTGGTTTAATGTTCTTTCGGAGGATACGGAAGAGTATCATGCCTGATGAACACACTCAGGTCTTTTTAAGATGATAACACAGACAATAAGCCAGGAAATGAAGGAATCCTCCCCACACCCTTTCCCTCCTGTGTTCCTTTCCTCTCTAACCTTTCTTTACTGGCCTCTGGAGGAGATGGATTTTTTTTTTTAAGATTTATTTATGCATACAAGAACTGGGGTAGAGGCCAGAGGTATGGGGGGGGTGAGAGAATTCACCAGAGACAGAGTGGGTGTAGTAGTAGTGTAACAGGGTGGTCCCCAGGAAAGGGGGAGGTTCTAGGTTTCCTGCCCCACCCAAAAGGAGGGTGGAGCTGAACAGGGAGAGAAGAAGCTGGAGAGGAGACTGAGGAAGGAAGGATGCAGGATGGAGAGCCAGAAGGAGATCTGGAGGAGGCGCGTAGAGCCGAGAGATACGTGAAGAACTGTGCTTGCCTTTTGGTCATGGACTGGTTGAAACATATGTGGGTGAGAGACCCGTGGGGAGGTGACGATGGCAGTTTTTGTCTTGATTTTGCTCTTTTCCTCTCAGACTTGTCTGGTTATTTCTGATCCTTTTCTGTGGGTCTCCACTGGAAGGTGCTTTAGACTTGTGGCAGGCTTCTGGGTGGACTTTTACGCATGAGGGGATGGGTGACTTTGGGTGCTTGATTTAGAAACTATATTCTTTGCCTTTCATGTATTGTTTCCTAATTGTATTAAAGTTCCTTCCTATTAAAGTCTCATATGTTTTGTGTTGATGTGGCGGATGGCAGAAACTATTTAGAGCAGGCAGGTTTGTGGGGTCTAGGGTGCCCCTCTCCCTGCCCTGTAACAGCAGGAATGGGCACAGGGCAGGATCTCTATGATCCGAGCAGACAGGTGAAGGAGAGAGTCCTGGAGCCCTCAGTGGCTTTTGCAGTCTTTTATTAAGTTTACCAGGTACATGGCAGGAACAAGACAAAACAGCTGCCCTAGCCTGGGAGGCCTCCTAGCCCCCAGCAAGTCTTCATTCTTCCTAGGCTCCCTGACATTCTCTCGTAGTCTCTGCTTCTCTGTTGGTTCTCCGCTGGTTGTCTCTCACTCTTCCCGTGGTTCTGCTGTTCCACCCTTTTGCTCTGCTGGCGTCCCCATGACACCACCCTTATTAAGCCCAGTCTCAGCCCAGGTGAATCCCATCTACATATGCCCACACCCTACTCCAGGTGCCCGCCATCAGGCATGCATTCAGGACTGCAGATCCATCATCAATCCTAATGGTGGGAGGGCAGAAAAGCCTGATAATTTTTTACCTTACCCTATAATGGGGAACGGAATAGGCAGATTGACTGAAATA